TTATTAGGTCCATATTTTATTTCATATTTGTATTTTCAGAATGCAATCTCCCAAAAATGTTGTAATTCAGTTCTTAGAAAAAGAAGGTGAGATGAGTGGGCTTTTTACAGTTTCTGGTTTCATTCAATTGATATTGTGCTCATAAAGTCTTTTTTAATAACAATATCTACATTTCATTTAGTATATATGTAGGTGTATGGATTCCGAACCAAAGTTAGCCCAAAGTTGGCAAAGTTTCCTGTACTCTCCACAAGAAAAAAAAATTTGTTAATTATTTAAAGGGGAGGGGTGCATCGAAAAAAAATCAAACTCGCTTGGTAGACCCCACAAAGTATATATATTCTTGATCAGCATGACAAGCCGAGTCCGTCTATCTGTCCGCCTGTCCGTCTATCTGTCCGTCTGTCTGTCTGTCTGTCTGTCCGTCTGTCTGTCCGTCTGTCTGTCTGTATGAACGCAAGGATCTCCGAAAGTATAAGAGCTAGAATAACCAAACTTGGTGTACAGATTCTCCTGAGACCGAGAAAGGACGAGTTTGTTCATTTTTTCTGATCCACCCCCCACATATATTTTATATTTAATTTAGTTAATTAATTAAATTAATTTAGTTAATTAATTTAATTACATTAATTTAGTTAATTAATTTAATTAAATTAATTAATTAATTTAATTACTTTTTTATGGGGTGGTACAGGGTATTTAAGAGTTGAGCCTGCTCGACTTTAGCATTCCTTTCTTGTTTCTTCTCTGCAATGCTGCATCGAGGTTTGTACCAGCTTTTTGAGGCAGTTTTATATCAAATTTTCATAGCGCCTCCATTGTCATTTCTCACTGCTTGGACGAATCGCAAACTGAGCCCGAAACGTAACCCTTATGAATATTTTGTACCCAAGGTTATGTCCACACAAATATTTGTTCATACTTCAATTACAAGCTGAACGTTTTGTGGACGCTCTTTTTATTCAGTAATTTTGGTTTGTGTTGCACGAGTGTTTAAAAATGTATTTGCTTTTATTTACAGTGGTTTGCCTTGTACTCGTACTTGTTAATTTTGTAATTTGTATGCAAAATGCACACATAGTCTGCAAAAGGCCCAACTCTTCCTCTGTAGCTGAGTTTGTGCTATTTATTCCACGCCTTGTCATTGCCAGCCGTAATTAGAAACATGTTAATGAATATCATTTGTTTGTCTGCACAACATCGTTTTGCGTTTTTCTCATCACTTTCGTTGTCATGCTGTTTGTCTACCACATGTCGTATACGCAATTTTATTTATAAAACCAGCCTGTCAGGCAGCGTGTGTCTTTTATTTGCTTAAGTGATAGTTATTTAATTTTTAATTACTTGTGACGCTCAAGTGTTTGAATTACGCAATGACATATAACAGCAACAAATACAGCAACAACAACAACTACAACAAAATCAATAAACACACAAATTGTGCATTCAAATGTTAAATTAAATTCGTTGCCTCTCTCTATGGCGCATAAATTTTGTATTTGTGTCGCTTTTAATTATTTAATTCGATTATTTAAAATTAATGATATGTTTTTCATATGTCATTGCACAATCGTCGTTCGCATTTTTGTGTATATTTAAAAATTACAAAAACCGTTAAGCATTCATTTCAATTATGCAGATAAGTGGAAATGTAATGAAAGCCGAACAAGCGGATTAATTTGAAAAGTTGGCAAAAAATCGAGTGGCTTAAAGTTGATTTAATGCGTGACAAAAATTCGTTTATTTGAATGTGACACTAATGCTCTAACAGGTAATATCAGAAGTGTTTGAAGAAGAAACGCTTTTTAACATATATCCTACAAGTATTTATTGGGCACGAGGTTGAGAGCAACTAAGGAAGCAGACTCTGAATCCACGCAACGTCTGCCTGTCTTACTGTCAGCTGTTTGCCTGCTATTGGTCCTTTTAGAGGAGCGTAGAGTATTTTCTCCTTTGTGTTCGTCAACGGCCATGACAAAAACTCGAGCGCAAAGAAAGCCGATATGTTTTAAACTGATGATATTGATATCTTTTAAACTGATATTGCTCTCCAATTGTAGCGTATTTTAATATACTTACGGCATTTTTCCTTTTTTAAAACTGTTATGTCTGTGGGAAACTGCAGAGTCTAAGAAAACTAGTATTTTTTTAAATTCTTTTATTTATTTATATATACAAGGTGTGTTCCAAAGTAAACAGGACTTTTAAAAAAAAAAAAACAGAACAAATGGTTTTTTGGGCAAAGTTAATTTATTTTATTCAAAATACTTGTAGCTTAAAGGTAATTGAAATTACAGATAAGCTATGGTAACTAAAAATATAATATGAATTATTATAATGAATTTATTTTAATGGAGCTATTTACAGAAGGGAATGGATGAATTAATGAAGATATTGTGGAATTGTAATAAAACTATAATTTATGAATTAGATTTAATGCTTTATGAAACTTTTCGTGTACTTTAAAATTGTCTTTAGGCGGACAATAAAGAGAGAGAACTGGTGTTGCAGAATTGGCATTTGTGACTGCTTGTGGCAGAGTTGAGGAGGTGCTTGTGGGTTAGGCTAGTGTGGCCCAGGTGGAGTCGTACGAGTTGTGAGTAATCGTGCTTGTTCAGTTTCAAATCGTGCTAGTTCCAGCCATACACATAGATGGTAGTCCTGTGTGTATTTAGGAAGTGGATGTGGGGATTAGGGTTTGAGAATAGGTTAAGCAATACAAGTATATGTAGAAAATAGGATTTTATGAATCTAATGATGTCCGTAAATATTCATGTAATTATTCTCGGAAATTAGAGGGTATTTAACTGCCGCCTTAGCTGCATCGACTTTTTCGTTTCCTTTAATATTGCAATGGCCGCGAATTCAAATTAATGTTATATGGGGGAAGAGTGAAGAAAGAAACTGTCTTTCTAGCTTGAAGATAAACGTGTATTCAATTCTTCAGCTTAATGATACATGCTTCAAATGTTGCAGACGGGCAGAATCCTTCATACTTGTATATGAAAATAAATCATGCTAGCTCTAATACTTAAATAGTTTACTTATTATTATAGATACATGTACTTATTAAAACTGTTTAAGTTGCTTACTCAGCTTGTGCTTAAATAGCTTTATTTAAATACATGCTGATATCGGATCATCTCAGAAAACTCACTTCAATTCCCTGTGTGCGTGGCAAAAAGTTCGGACTAATAAATACATGTGGTTCTTGTTTTTTGTGTTCGCCAGACAGATGGCTTTATGTGCACACATATCTATGTGAGTAATTTAAGTAAGGTTTATAATTTATTAGTCAGCCTATGGCACAAATTCCGCTGCATCTAAGCCCAACCTTCTGCCGACTGCTAAGCATTTGTACTTATCTAGTCGCACCCTTGGGCTTCTATTTGGCTAAGAGCCTGGACTCAGCCACGCATATTGCAGTGCTAAAGTTTTATGCGTTGCAGTTGATTCCTTGGCGGCACACTCTTACTTAACGCCTAGGCACTTGGTAGCCTAGCAATTTGTTCCACTTTAGGCTTTAAATAGCAAGTACCTTTAGTGGATGGAGGATGCTCCGACTGCAGCTATCTGTCTTTCTCTCCTTCTCCCTCTCTCTGACTCTGACTCATCCTGCTTAGCAAGTTATAACGCTTTACTTATTACATTTCCATCTGCAATGGGCTGGTTGCAGTGCGCCAAGAGCGAACAGGAATGGGTGAGGTGAGCGCGCGGAGCATGTGGGTCAAATGATGATGACGATACTGTTGACGGAGCCGATGGGAATGAGGGAGATGAGTCGTAGACGGCAAAGAAAAAGTAATCGTACTTGGCTGTTGTTTGTTTGTTTGTTTGTTTGTTTGTTTTTACAACTGTGATTGAGGTGGAATTGCATATTTCTGTGCGCTTCTTCCATTTCGTTTCATTTCATTTCGTTGAGTTCCAGTTCCGAGTCGGCGTGCATACATATGTATGTACATATGTTCCTATTCCTATCCTTCCTATTCCTCTCCTGCTGCTTTTGTTGTTGCTGTGTGTGTGTGTGCTCCAATAATATTTCCAAACGTTTTATTGAATGTCGTTACCATTGCTGGCGCGGCATGCACTTGTACGAGCATAGCCCGTGTGCTGGAGCTCGTGCTAAATCTTCCCTGAAGCTCCCCTTTCCCCCAACTTGGCTGCTGCCATTGTTTTCTGCCGTGTTGTTTGCTTGCTTGGCTTACGTTTATTGTGCGAATAACTGTCAACAATGGAAAATAGGAGTAGTAAAGTGTTTGCTTGCGCTTAGTTCGTGCTTGAGTTGAAGCTCCTCAGCTACCATTGCCGACATGCAGCACCAAATGCTTTTAGGACATGGCCGTAAGAGACGTCTTTCGGAGAATGCTGCTTGCTTTATTTTAACTGAAGAAGGTCGATGTAAGGCGTGCAAATGAAAAGCGGCGAATAAAATTTGATCAAAATTGTACAAAAAATGCATCAAAAAGTGTATTTTCGCAACCGATGGTAGCTTGTCGAATGTACCGATTGATACATAGTTTTGTTATATTTTGCACCTAATATTACCATTTCTTATCGATTATAATTCTTTCTTTTCACCTAATATTATGAAGTGATATTTAATATTTAATTGCTTAAAAAGTTTTTTTATTTCCCGATTGATTAACAGTGATTTGTAAGTGGGTATGGTTCGTTATTTATAAATCTATTATTACTAATTAAAATACAATTGTGACTATGTGTGGCTTTTTAGAAAATTACAAAACATTCCAACAAAGCTCTCAGTGGATCCTTTAGAAACTACAACTTGTCCAATCCCTGTACCTTGCTTACTAACTTTACATTTCTTGTTGCAGCATCGCGCTATCAATTTGTTTGTCACGCCAATGCAATACTTGTAGTTTTTTTTTTTCAAAAAGTATCTGTTTTAGCCTTCCAATCGCAGCAACTGTGTGGTACTATTCAAAAGTCGTATTGTCAGATTCCATACATTGATCAGTCTACCTCAAAACGTTTCGTGAGTAAAAGTTAAAATTTTTAACAAAAACTTTGAATTCACTCTTTGGGCTAAAGTTGTATCGGCAGCATGGATAATTTAGAGGCCACTCGTGCGCTTTGTGAGATATTAAAGATTCCACTGCCCGATATCCCTACCAATGGCCAACATGTAGATGCTGGCAGTGATTGCGATTCGAAGTCGCGCCTACAGCAGATGCTCAATGCAGATGCTAATGAGTTTGTGCCGTATTGCAAGCGCGAGTCCGATGCCGAAGATGAGGACTTGTTAAATTTGAATGCATTGAAGCGACACTTTGAGGCATTCGACGAGTACAAAGAGCCGGAAAAATCCGCTTTGGTTGTCAGTGAAGTCGCAGATACGCTCAAGAGCAAGCAGCTGACATTACCCTGGAAGGGGTTCCCCAAAACATTGCGGACGGAACGCACCAATCGCAATAGTAAGTGTAGAAGAGTTATTCAACAATACGGCCCCAAACAACTACTATGGCATTCCATTTCCAAACATCTTATTTGATGCATTTTTTAATCAGTTGGTTTTGCTGCATTGGCCTAATTTTGTAGACACACATACACAGAGTAAATGTATATGTGTGTTCGTAATTATGTCTTCAGTCTTTTTATACCCTGTACCCGTAGCTGGTAAAAAGGGTAAATTATCTTTGTGCAAAGAATGTAACAGGCAGAAGGTAGCATATCCGACCCCACAAAGTATATATATATACATATATTCTTGATCAGCATGCCAAGAGAAATCGATTTAGACATATCCGTCCGTCCGTCCGACCGTCTGTCTGTCTGTCTGTCTGGATGAACGCAAACTCAGAAACTATACAATCTAGAATAACCAATGTTGGTATCCAGATTCTCCTTGTCCGAGAAAGGAGAGTTTATTTTATTTTTGGGAATAGGACTCTAGCATTCGATCCTTGTTTTAATTTCTCAATCTCCATTAGCTGTCGTAAACGGCACGCACATTGCGCCTACGAAGAAGGATGCCCAATCTACGGATTCAACGATGAAGCGTGCGAGGAAAGACAAAACAGCAACAGACAAGGACATTCAAGGAAATGCTAAAGATAATGACAATGAAAATGCACCTCTGCCACTTCCAACAAAGAAAAAGTATGAAGCCGATGAGAAAAAACGTGAACATGAGCGGAAGGTGGCTCTGGAAGCCTTGAAGCTTGTTGAGCAGCGACGAATGCGCGAACCACTTGTCCCGGCGATCAGGGGAAATATATTGCCATCATCTAAATTACAGCGTCCAGTGGTTCATTTAACGCGCTCTCCAGTGAGATTTACGCCCGAAGAACGTGAACGTGTCGATCGCTTGCGTGTGCTCAAACGCGAGCGGATTGAGTTCGTGCTGCGCGAAATGAAGAAGGAGCGGGAGCAGCAGAAGAGCCGCAAGAATCCACCAGGTAGAGATCGTAATGCTAAAGCTGGAGAAAAAGTTGGCGAACCACATCCGCGCAGTGAAGAGGTTGAGGCTCTTTTGCCCATACCCAAGCGCAATATAAGCAGCAAAGTAGATATACCGGATGAACCAAAGCACGAGTCCATCGTGCCGCCTAAGCGTTACATTTGTCTCCAGCGTTCCAAGCCAGAGCAAGTAGTTGTGCCAGCGGCTAAGCCATTATTGCCAGCTCGACGTTACATACCCACAACTAAGGAATGGGATGAGCAATGCAAGGCTAAACAATTGTTGGCCGAAGCCAAGGCATTGACGAAGTCCACCATGGTTACAAATAAAGAGAATAAGGAGAATGAGTTTGTGCATGCCCCAAATCAGCTTATGGCCCACACAAAACTCAAGGAGCACAAGCTGGATCAGGCTGAACAGCCCAAACGCGAGCTCCTCCAGTGTGTGAGCAATGTGGGACGTGCCTCCAGCATTCAATACCAACAGGACGAAATGCACGAGGAGCTGGTGTTATCGGGAAATGGCAATGAATATATTCTGCGACGTCGGCGCACATACGGCACCGGATTTCGTGCTCCGAATACTAGCATGGAGGAATACTCCCTTGAAGTGGCACCAGGAGAGATGCGTCGCGGCAATTTGACTCACGCACGTAACCTGGTACGCGCTTTTCCCAATTGGGTTCCATCCCCAGTCCCAACTCCAGTGGGTACAGGTGTAGCCGCTCACAGTTCTCCAGAGTTGACGGCAAAAATGCTACACAAGAATAATAATGTGATACGCTATAATATCGAGCAGTTGCTGCAGATGGAGCCAGAGCCTGCTGATATGAAAAAACCGAACTTTGCAGAATTCCTGCACAAGTTTGGCTTCATCTATGAATAGCATAGGCGATTGAGAGGATTCCCTTTAATCTACCATTTATATATTCTGCCTTTGTATGTGTATATTTATTTTTAGTATGCCTTCATTAACCTTTTTCAGCAGTCCCTTTAACAGTTCAAGAGGTTTAGTTACCAGTTATGTTATCGACCGTAGTTAAAAAACTGTTGTGGTTGTGTATTCGAAAAGACTGTTTGAACTGAACATAAATATAAAGTCAATACAAATACAGAATTTGTGTTTAAATTAATTTCAAAATCTACTGCTTCTGGAACGTTAAACAAAATGAATTCCTAAGACAAAAATTTGTGATTGAAAATCTCATAGATTAGTTTACAATTTAAATTTCAATTAACATCCACGATCATTGGTTCATCCTGAGTAGCGTTTGCACAGTCAATCGGTTCTAGAAACCATATGCCTATGGGACCTGGTGGCTCTGGCTTTAAGTGTCCCACACACTTGGAATTTTGCGCTAACATAGCACAGTCTTCTTCACAGTGATATTTATGGGCACTCATCTGAGAAATGAATGCATCCAAATTGTGCATCTCGCTTGCACACAGCACTTGTTCCTGCAAGCTACAAAGCAAGTGGGCACTGCAAACATTTAAGAAGAATTACAAAATGTGTTTTTAGAAGTATTACTGCTTACATTTCCTGAAGAGTAGTTCTTTTGAGACGGAGCTGCGATACCAAAGGCATTAAATATGGTAGCGATGACAAGCGATTGCGATTTCTTAAATCATTAATAGGTATGCGCACCGCCAAACTTTTGACAATAAGTTTCAACGTTGAAGTAAAGATGTGCACCTTCAATAGCCATGCTTCTTTGGCACTGGCATATTGGTTAATGAGATTCACGTGGCCTCGAAGCGCATTCTAATCGAGTTGTGGTTAGCTCTTAATTTAAAAAGTACTGATGTTCTTTGACTTACGGTCACTCGACTTTTATTAGAGTTTTCTGTGCAAATGTGTAGAAGAACCACTGGCAGGGCAGTAGCGTACATCTCCAGTCTGTGCTTTATCAGTACACCTATCAGATTCTTTAATTCTTGGGTGACTACAGCATTCACAGATGGATGCTGTAATTTAATATCGAACATTATTCAGGAAAGGCCACACAGTAATCGAAACAATGGATGCTAACCATTTTATAGTGTTGCAGCAGCTTCCAAATTTTGTTACTTGGCAACAAAATATGCTCGCTGGCATGGAGTAGTTGAAAAAACAAATACATCTCCTGCATGTAATTAGAGGTCAGCGAACAAAAGAACGTCTGGCGAATTTGAGCCGTTTGTGCAAGATGCTCCACCAGGACGCTGTAGCCACACGCATCGGTCTGTTGACAAAGCAGCAGTAGGGCAATGGCGCTGTAAAAGCTTTTGGCCCTTTTAAACTCAGTTGTAGTCGCTGCCATAGAGATTTCGGACATTTCGCGAACACAAGTGGTACTCAAATCCTTTACCAAACTGCGAACTTCTTCATCTGCGTCACTAACGTTTGCCCCTTTACACAATGAGCAGAGCATATAGGCAAGTGTTTCACATCCAAGTGCAGCTAAAACGAAAGAACGTTATTTAAGATAATTCAAAATAATTGTACGAGTATTCTTTTTCTGAATTGTACTTCTTTTAAACAAATTTTGAAAATAGCAATGGGCAATTAGATTACGCATCTGAATCAAAGGAACCACAGCTGCTGGCAGTGCATAAGTAGAAACTTCATTGTTCTTAAAATTAATCTTGGCAATTGAATAATTAAGCCCCAATGAACGCGATCGCAAAATTTATTACTCGTCTTGTCAAGCTAATCAAGAATATGTGTATATTCTAAAAGGGGTCCACCCAGGGGTACAGATCGATTTCATAATACACTTTTAACCTTCAGGTAAAGGGTTCTTTTAAAAAAGGTGTGGATTACTGCTCATATTTTAACATGACTTTTACATAAATTATGTTGCTTTAAAACCTTTAGTTCTATTTAGCTTACCCAGTTCCCCCTCGCACAGAGGTATATTAGAGGCTAGTGAAGGATACATCTCACGTATCAACCGTCTGGGCAACTTGTCGCGTCTGATGAGCACATTTAGGCGTCGTAAATGATTAAAATAAGTTTGCAATTGCCCTGGTGAAGGCGTTAGCTGAAAAAAAATATAAGTACTTTTACACAATGTTGAAAAGTGACAGAGTTTTTTTTTACCTGTTCACTGAACATGTTTTGCATGTTTGTGTGCTCGTCTCTTAATGTATCCACCACATGAGTGTGTATTTGTTCATTCCCTGTTGCTCGTACTGAACGAATCATGCTAGCATAGAGCGTGTAGAAATCAGACTCTGACAGTGATTCGTCATGTAAAAATTTGTCCAGACAAAATCGCTCCAGTGAAATCAATAGGTGTAAAGGGAAAAATGAATGATCAATTATCAGGGTAACAAATTGAACAAGATAATAAATAACGAACACTATCAGCTAGCTACCACTCTAAAGACATAGGGTGCTTGCACGTTATACACAGATAAACAATTAAGCCCGTCGTAACGCTGCGAAATTTGCAAACTGTGATTAGAGCTAATACAACTTTGGGACAATTCAGGCAATGGCCTGAATGTAATTCTTAAGCATTCAAATATATTTTAAACATTTCCATTATTTGCACTTACTAATATATTTTCCGGATTGTGTTCAGCGATAGCATTGAAATCGACCAAATCGAATAAGCTGAATAACAGAGCGCGTATCTCTTGTTGATGAGTTCCCTCAATTATTTCGACTATCTGTAGCAATAGCTCGTGAATCTGCACCTGAGCATCCTCACTCTGGCCATATTTCTTGGTGTGCATAACAAACAGAGCATATATGAACTGTGTGGCGAGTAGTCTTAGCTCCAATTCTATGTCAGTTGAGTTCAGAATACTTATGTAGTAGGCAAAGTTTTGCATTGCGCTACAATATTGGATCATTAGTTGCAACGAATTCATCAACACTGTCAAGGCATGCTCGTGCTCGTTTAAAATGGTTCTACCGTGTGACATCTTGCTGAAAGTCTTTAGCACATGTAAGACTATCTCCTGCACATCGTACTGCCGGTGCACAAGGCTTATATACAGCTCAGCTGCTAATTCTCTAATTACCAAGGTGATCGGTGTTTGTGGCATTTGCAGCACAAGCTGTAGTATGCGTTCTAGAAAGGATATTGGAAAAATTTCTGTGCTGGTTATGTGACTGCAAGAAAACGACATTAAGCAAGGTTTAAAATTTTAAAACATTGCTATAAATTACTTTTGCAATTCCAGCAAATATTTTAATGTGGCCATCAGCAAATAAGTATCCGTTTGTGGTCTCAGCATATGAAATTGTATGGCCACAAATTTGTCGCTAATTAATTCGTCAGTCAGAATGCGGAGAAGGAGATTGCCGTTTTCATCGCGTAGTTGGTTGCGCGCGAATCTTGTGAGTAGATCTTTTAAAAACTTGTAGGCTCGCTCATAGCTGCTATTGTTTGGCCACTAAAATTCAGAGAAAAAATATGTATGGGTCTGTTACAAGATATAAAAGGTGTCAGAGTTGTAAGCTCAATAAGTCGCCAAATAAATAATCAATACGAAATTTTGGGAAGCTTGCTACGTACCTTAACGCAAAATACGCAGTAAATAAAATTAAGAGCGCTATGATGAACACCACAAAAGACCCAAGAATATTTCCGAAATAATCGCAGCATCGGCTTCAGAATAGTGTTATGGGTTTCTTCATAGCTGAAAACACAAATAAGTGCAGCTGTGAAGAAAATGTACTACATATGTATGTATGTACGTACAAGATGCCAAAGCGGACATTAATGGTCAAAGTTCGACAAAACTCCGGTAGTTCAAGCAATTCCATGCCGTAGTCGGGCAGTAGTTTGGATAAGCCCAGGAGTATGCTGTAAGCTGTGTGAAAGGCAAAGGATAACAATACTGATAGTGATAAAGTTAGGTAAACTTACACACTCGTGCCAACGGTTCGCGTAGAAATTTGTCAATAGCTTTTGTGTTTGGATCCCCGTTACAGCTCATCGCGTCGACCACCTTGCACCATATGCTAACTACTCGCAAATAGCACGGTAGCGGTCGCGTAAGCATGTTGAATTCTCTATTAGCGTTGCTGCCATGGTTTTTACGGGTGAGTGCTTTATCGTAGGTGGCCAGGAGAGTAGGAAGTTGATTTAAAAATTCGTGTAATCCCTGCAGCACGAATGGGGCGCTATTGAAGACGTAGTCCAAGTTGTCATTGCGGTACGGATGCTGAGGCATCTTTGCGAATGCTTCCATGCTAACCATAAACCTTATACCCAGTGCATTGAAGCATTGCCCGACAAATTTATATGACACCTTGGTACACCAATTGTGGGGATCTGAAGTCAACGCTTGCAAAAATGCGTACGCATATTCGTGAACCGTATACTAGAAATTGAAAGACGTTTATTTGGGGAATCGAACGCTTTTCACGTACCTCTATATCAGCACCCGTCGAAATGGCTGTCACAAAATCCATGGCAATCGTTTGCCAAGTGCTAAAAGGAAGAACACAAATTTATTTCTATAATAGGCCCGCAACAAGTGACCGTATGCTAGACGCCGTTAACGAAAAGTGTGTACACATTTTCCAATGCAGTATTTATAACAACCAATTGGCAGTATATTAAGCTGGTTTTATTCTCATTTGTATAATTTAGTATAATAAAAAAATTGTAGTATAATAGTAAAATGTTCGTGTGGTGCAAAGATTGCAAAGATAAAGAAACATAGTTAGTATCACTAAACATAGAGTTAGTATCTTGATCAATTTTGAGAATGTGGCATCTCTCGCATCGAATCTGTTACTGCGTACATATAAGCACTTATTTTCACTGAAATATCGATATCGGAAAATTGCCGTTTAAATTAAAAATAGTTTGTTTGCAAAAAACAAATTACATTGGTAACATTAGCGGACTCTTCTAGTATTGATAACTAAATGTTTATTGTAGTAATGGCATATATGTTTAGATTTTGTCGATTGGCTAATATCTTGCTTTTAAAGTTTATTTCAAGTTATTGCGCAACTGTTGTGATATATTTCGGAGATAGCATGATTTACTGGGACAAAACCGTTTAAGTGTTGTGATCTTGTCTTCAGTAAAATAGCAATAAATTGCTTACAATTGGCGCTTAAACAGTCAGCTTACACCAAGCTGCATTGTCTTTAAAAGCAATGTCCACCTTCTGACTGCTGACAGCCACTTTAAATGCCAGCCATTTATACGAGTAGCCATTATTTATAGAACGCCATGAACGCTGCTGCATCTGTCCTGCAGAAGGAGCCACCCGCTCGCCCGCTCTTTCTTTACCGCTTACTTTAACGGCTGGACATTGTATTCCCACTGCCGCTGATCCTGCTGTTTGAAGCATGCCACTCAGCAGCTGCGGCCATAACTTAAAATGCTGGCACAGGGACTCGGTGTGGGATGGCAACAATTAACAGCATAAATTTAAATATGCAATTAACGCAACAGCTTGAGGCTGCAAAATAAACAAACAATGTGCTGCAGAGGCAACAACAATGACAGTGGCGTCGGGCGATAATAAAAGCCAAAGGTCATTCCAACAGACTTAAACACACATACACGTACTCGTGTGTACATACTGAAATGCATTTGATTGTTTGTGTTTTCATTTTTTAAAACATGCAACAACAAAACCAACACCGACAACAACAAAAGCAACAGAAAACACATTTTTCCGCTTTATTTGCGCTCAACTGCGGCCACCAAACGGCGTTGGTCATGTGATACATTCATGCCCAACATGCCACCTCTGCACTTGCCCCACTCCTCCGTCTCTCCGCGACCGCTGCCTCCACTGCTTCAGCTGTCACATGTCAATATTTTTACGCTCAGCCACCAGAGCCACAGGGGACTTTTGTGCAGAGCTGGTTGCATTGGTTTTGTTGTTATTATTTTATGCTGTTGTTTTTGGCTGGCCTTTTATTTTGTGCAATTTTATACTCATATGATGCACTTGGATTGGGCTGCGTCCAGCGCTTCGCGTTATTGATGTGTAAAGTGGCTGCTGTTATTTAATAATAACATTAAAACAAAAATGCCAACGAAATTTAATAACGCCTTCTGCTGCTGCTGCTCTTGCTGCTGATACTCTTGCTGTTGCTGCCACATACAAACGTCAATCTACCTGAGCTGAGCCAATTTAAATTTATTTCACTTGACTCTGGGCACGACAGCAAATACATTTAAAATGCCAATGGTAATGAGAATCTGACAGCAGACACATTGGCAATAGGAGTAGTAGAGTAGGAATCTGAGAGACAGTGATATTACATCTCGAGGGTCCTCTGAATAGCTCAAGGCTATATTGTTTTTGATGTCGAAGTTTGTTACAACCAGAAGGAAGAATAGTAGACCACGTGCATGGGTACATACATATATGATCCGCATGACGAGACGAATCCAAACCGAGATGGCCATCAGTTCTTATCCACCCACTCTGAGGATTATTTTGAAGTCCAAAGACGGACTAGTCGACTAGTCTCGTCATAATAGCCTCTTTCTGGATGTTTCGTACATTCGCCCTCACCTAATGAAGAGTATATTTGAAACAATTTTAAAGAAGTACATCTCCAAATGGCTTTGAAAGGGCAGATGGGTCTGTCATAAAATACATGCCGCAGTAGCAGTTTGGATGTTATAGCTGCATTCTCCATACCACTTGCATTTGAAGTTTGTCAAAGCCTTACGCCAAAAGAAAAAACTTTTCATTTGCTTTGGTCCCCATTGCCAAGGCCCTACTTTACTGACTGCTTTACCACTCTTCACTCACTTCCTTTCTATAACCATAACATGGCAATTTTATTCAATTTCCTGTCGCTTTGTGTGTGGCACAAACGGCGGCGTCTGTGGTGGTGGCAGTGGTGGTGCCACCAACGACACAACAGGCAGTCAACTGCTCAAAATAAAACGAAAATAAAAAAAAAACTTAACCCGCTTCGCAAGTCAAAGGCGACGACACAAAAGAAGCGGCGTCGACGATGACGACAAATAGCAAAATGGCAAATGGCGCCCACCCACGCAGATGTGGGTTATACATAATTTTTCATAACGTTGGGAAATAGTTAAAACTGTGACTGGGCGCTTTGACGTTGCAACCGGCAAAGCAGCAAGTGGTGCAGTCAAAGCGGCTTAAGCCACTTGTGCATACTATATTATGTGATCTAGGGATGGAAAAGTGGCAGCATTTTGCATTAGCATAGAGCCCTTAGATGAGAATATACAAGTAGTAGTAGTCTATGCTCACGACAAGTGCCTGAATGGTTTTGTACTATTTGGAAATACGTGTAGATCAAACGCTATGGGTTCGAATCACGACGCTACCATCATCGCATAAAGCATGATTTTAAAATTATTTACAGTATTTAAAAAATTTCGTGAGAGTGGTATCTTGTCTAAAAAATTCAACAGCAGCATAATAATTATAATTAAATAATTTTAAAATATTTGAAAATTCAGAAGAAATAGCTCAAATCCAATTCCTTATAATTCTTTATAAGGATATAGTCGTAGTCTATGCTCACGACAAGTGCCTGAATGGTTTTGTACTATTTGGAAATACGTGTAGATCAAACGCTATGGGTTCGAATCACGAAGTTATCGCATAAAGCATGATTTTAAAATTATGAATGATATTATAATTAAATAATTTTAAAATATTTGAAAATTCAGAAGAAATAAATCAAACCCAATTATTTATTACGTATGTACATGTATTTTAGTATATTCTAACTTCAGCTAACTCTTATGTTTTTTCATTATTATTATTATAATTAAATAATTTTAATATATTAGAAAATTCAGAAGAAATAGCTCAAATCCAATTCTTTATTACGTATGAATATAAGTACAAGTATTTTAGTTTATTTATTTCTAACTTTCAGTAACTTTTAGATTTCTTCATTATTGTCAAGATAAGTCTTAATTATTATATCTGACAAATTGCATTTAATTTTCAAAATGAGCATTTTAAATCTAATATATTCTGAGATAGTTATTAATTATAATGTCTCTGACCACATATTCGGGGCATTGGAGGCATCAATAGACGTTGTTGTATAGTTTTTTTCTTATCTTTTAGGTTTAAAAATTCTAACGTTATATTATTACAAATCTTTATTTTAATTTATAATATTATACTACAGTTTTCAAATATGTATCGAGAGCACTATTTGTTGATTTATTAATTAAAAAATAAATAAATAAATGACTTTTCTCCTGAACAATGTTTCCCAGTAGCTGGTATTTTTGTTTTTTTGTGTACAAATATTACTATAAATAGAATTACCCCAATATTTGTAAAATAAAATTTCATGTAGTATTTGACGGGGTTTTTACTTTTAATTTATTTATACATTTATGGGCTGCCTTGATGCAGACAATTTGTTGTAAAATAGATTGATCTTTCTCTTTATCTATTTAGTGAACGTAACGTAAGTATTCTGTTGCGGGATATTAGAAAAGTTTCCATTTTCAAGCAGTGCAGCAGTGACTTTGTTTATTTGTGACGAATCTCAAAAATGTTTTGGTACCATTTATATTGTCTTTTCTAGTTCGTGGCACCTTCCATCTCTAGGATAGGCTCTTAAATGGCAGTGAAATTTGGCAGCACACAAGCGTGTTGGTAAGTGCTGCTCCATTGGCCAGCACTTTGTCACACTAATTAAGCCACTTAGGAACTTTGGTGGCAGCAACGTCCTGGCTGCCATTGTCTCCGGCTGCTAAAAAGGCGGCGTGCTACCAAATATGTGTCATTCAGCAGTGCAGTTTCAGCAACCCCCTACCATGCCAGTGTGCGTATACGTAATAAATATTTCACCAGATAATTCCACAAGCTGGCCCAGAGATTCTACGTGCTGCTGCCGCGTCTCACGCATTTCGGGCCTGTCACCTTGCACATTAGGCATTCCTTTTTGGCTGCAGCTCTACGTGCGCAACGCATCTGAATCAGGCGCTACTTTGCTGCAGTGCTAACGTCGCCTGATCGTCATCATCGTCCTTCATGCCAGCGCGTGACATTTACGACTTGCTGCTCGTTCTTTTTTTCTTTTTTTTCTTCTTATAAAGCCACTTTGAATTGGCGTAATTTTCATTTCCGCTTGCTCGGCAACGTGCAATTTACAATTAGGTTGTCATTGGTTTGTACCTTCAAATGAATTTATTACTCATTCGCCGAGTGTTATGCAGTGGTTGCTAATTAAAGGTATTCACCAGGGTGCCTGATGCTAAATAAAATATTCTCACCTACGCTAACATGTGAGGGATGCATAATACAAGGTGTGTTCCAAAGTAAACAGGACTTTAAAAAAAAACAGAACAAATGGTTTTTTCGGCAAAATCAATTTATTTTATTCGAAATAGTCTCCTTCTGCTTCAATACAGCTTTTTGCACGATCCAAAAGCATGTCGAACGAGTATTGTAGTTCTTTGGCCTTTTGAATGGCCTCTTCGTCTGCATAACGCTTTCCTTTCATGGGCAAATGCATTTTTCCGAAAAGGTAGAAGTCGCACAGTGCCATATCAGGTGAATACGG